ATACTACAAAGCCATTGTAATCAAAACAGCCTGATGCTGGCACAAGAACAGGCATATAGATCAATGGAATGGAACAGAGAACCCAGAAATCAACCCAAGCCATTACACTCAATTAATATTTGACAAAGCAGTCAAGAGCATACAATGGAGTAAAGACCGTCTCTTCAATAAGTAGTGTTGGGAAAATTGGACAGGTACATGCAAAAAATGAAGCTAGACCACCAACTTACATCATACACAAGAATAAACTCAAAATGGATAAGACTTAAATGTAAATCATAGAGCCATAAACATCCTAGAAGAAACCATAGGCAGCAAAATCTCAGACATCACTCCTAGCAATATGTTTGCATATACATCTCCTAGGGCAGGGGTGGGCAACCCCTGGCACGTGTGCCAAACATGGCATGCCAGTAAGTTTTGCTGGCACGTGAAACCCTCTTTTATAATCTTCCATTTACAATTTTTGTGAACATTTGAATGACTTAAATGTTAAATTACAAGGAACTGGTAACACACTTGATGTTATGTTTGGTTACATAAAGGCTTTTGAAAAGAAACTGGAAGTCTTTAAGAGGGATGTGGATGGTGAGAGATTTAGGTATTTCCCAAACCTCAAGAGGTACATCAAAGACCTCCCAAAAGATATCAGAACAGATTGTCAAAGCCTTCAAAAGCTGTTTTTAAACATTATCGAGTCAACTATTGAGCAGTTCTTCTCAAGATTTGTGAAATTCAGAGAACTGGAAGAGACAGCAAAATGCATGAGGTTTCCAGACAGCATGAAACTAGAGGAACTAAACTTACAAATGTTTTCATGGATAGACATGGCTGACTTTGAAATGCAGTTGATTGAATTTCAGAGTAGCTCAATTTGTAAGCAGAAATTTATTGACCTTAGAGTTGACTTGGAAAACATTGAAAAAAAGCGATTAGAGACAGGAGTACCAGAGAGAAGTGTCGAAAATGAACTATTGGGGACTTGGAATGCCATTCCAGAAAATTTTTTCTGTTTAAAAAACTTTGCAACAGCATTACTCTCCATGTTTTCATCCACATATGCTTGTGAACCTTTGTTCTCAGTGATGAATTTTGTTAAGTCTCGTCATAGGAGTAGCCTGACGGATGAAAGTAGTAGCTTGCGCATATCTCTGAAGGTCACGAAATACAAACCTGATGTAAAATCTCTGTCATCAGTGATGCAGCAAAAGTCCCACTGATAATATCAAACGGAGTCATATAGTTTTCTGTCGGACTATCAGTGTACATGTATACATTAAAAAATAAATGTATTTTTCATCATCATATACTGTGTTTTTGTCACTCGAATGAATTTTATTATTTCTTCAAGGTTCTTCACATACGTACACCTTAAGAGATATCAAGTAGGCGTAACATGTTCTCAAAAAATTAGGGTTGACATGCAGAAGAATTTTGAGTCAGAGATTTTGCTGGTTTTGGCACACACTCACAAAAAGTTTGCCCACCCCTGTCCTAGGGCAAAAGAAATGAGGGAAAAATAAACAAATGGAACTACATCAAAATAAAAAGCTTCTGCACAGCAAAAGAAACCATCAACAAAATGAAAAGGAATTTAATTATATGGGAAAACATATTTGCCAATGATCCATCTGAAATATAAATTTCCAAAATATATAAAAAAACTCATATAACTTAACAAAAGGAAGACAAACAATCCAATTTAAAAATGGGCAGAAGACTTAAATAGACACTTCTCTAGAGAGGACATAAAGATGGCCAAGAAACCCATGAAAAAATGTTCAAAGTCACTAATCATCAGAGAGATGAAAATTAAAACGACAATGAGGTATCACCTCACACCTGTCAGAATGGCTACCATCAACAAATGACAAGTGCTGGTGAGGATGTGGAGAAAAGGGAACCCTAGTACACTGCTGGTGGGAATGCAGACTAGCACAGCCACTATGGAAAACAGTATGGAGTTTCCTCAAAAAATTAAAAGTGGAACTCCCATTTGACCCAGTGATCCCACTTCTAGGAATATATCCTAAGACAAAACACCAATCAGAAAGAATATATGTACCCCTATGTTCATAGTGGCACTATTTACAGTAGCTAAGATTTGGAAACAGCCCAAGTACCCATCAGTAGATGAGTGGATAAAAATGCTGTGGTACATTTACACAATGGTATACAATGCAACTATGAAAAAGAAGGATTTCTTATCCCTTGAGACAGCATGGAAGGACCTGGAGAATATTATGCTAAGTGAAATAAGTCAGTCAGAAAAAGACAAGTATCATATGATCTTACTTGTACGTGGAATATAATGAACAAAGTAAAATTACAAACAAAATAGATCCAGAGACATGGAAGCATGGAACAGACTGACCAATCTCAGAGAGAAGGGGAGCAGGGGAAGAGATTAACCAAAGAACTTAAATGCATATATGCATAACCCATGGACATAGACAGTAGTGCAGTGAAGGCCTAAGAGTGGGGGGTGAGGGTGGGCACTGGGTGAGGGGAGTCAATGGGGGGGGGGAAGAAAGGAGGACATCAGTAATAGTTTCAACAATAAAGATAATTTTTAAAAAAGAATAAAACTTCCAGCACAGAGAAATTAAAATAAAACATACTAGATTTATCATAGACTTTAATATTTTCTTTCACACTAAAAGCTCTAATAGTGTATGCTGTAACACATTATATTTTAGGCTTATTTTTTCTAGGGAATGCAAATTTAATCATCTAGAAATGTTAGTCCTTTAAAATTAGATCTATAACATAAATTGGGAAAAGAAAAAGCACATTGCTGAATTATTGATTTAAAATTTAAGAATTATTTCCACCTTTTACAGACTAATTTTACCAGGATGTTGAATTTAAGTAAGTAAAAATGCATTTTCATGAAAAACAGTGACTTGTTCTTAGATGGAGTGTCTGGAAGTAATAAAATCACATGGTTATATATTTGATTTTCCTTTATAAAAACTGTTTATGAAGGACATAACTTTCAATAGTTTGTCAGTTACATTTCTCACCAACCGTGGTGTGGTGTTGGGAAACATTTTCATAGCAACATGTAAGGGAGAAGCATTCCAAGCCCTTCTGATGGTTCCATATCTTAAAATAATTTTAATTGATCTGAATAAGCTATCGATGAAATCAGCTAATTTAGAAAATTCCAGAAACAATCTTGAAAGCAGCAGCAATGTGCTCTTTAAGAAGTGAGGGAGCGAGTCCTGTGCCAGGTCACCAGTCCAGGCCTAGAGATCTGAGGCCGAGTACCTGCCTCTCCTGGCCACATGGCCACAGAGGTGTTTGCAGTGTGTGCCTGAAAGAAAAGAACGTTTTCACAATCCAGGCACAGAAGCCCCAAAGAATGACTGCATTCCAGGTGGTCCAGTAAACCCTTACAGGGGCTGGATTAAAATTCTGAGGTCATGATTTTGGGTGTGAACATATAGGCCACTATTAGCCATATATTTGAGGGAATTGCTATCTTGTCGATTTGTCCATAATCTCCGGTAACCGTAATACACGCTGCATCGCTTCACTATTTCAGTAAGTGAAGTATTAATCTCCACTGTAAGTGAGACTTTTGTCCCATACATTTCTGATTTGTTTTGCTCTAAGTATGGTTTTTGCTTCAGTGAAAAAGATTTCCAAGAAAAACCAGACAAGAAATTGTCCTAGAAAATCCTGATTCCTAAACTGGGATTGATTAATGAAGGAAACGGCAATTCTCTATCTCACAAAGAATTCTGAAGAACTGGAACACAGTCTTGGCGTCAGGTTCTTTCCCCTTAACCCTTCCTGTAATTGTGTTTATCAATTTACTTTTGCTCTGTTCTCAATTATGGAGTTTATATCCTTGAAGACATTGAGATGCTTCAGCGTTTCTGGAGAAAAAACGGTATTCTGTTTTGAGTTATACCATGCAATCAACATGTTCCCACATTTGGCTCACAAATTCATAATACCAGCATTCATAGGGAAATACTACAACATGTTTGCTCCTCACAGGTGACAAAAAAATTTAGTGTCTTACACTCAGGCTAAACCACATTATAGGACTGTTCTAATTTAGATTAAACCCACATTTGATTTTCTCTTCTGAAACCGAAAATGCAGTCCCAACGTTATTAAATGACCAAATAATTCTGGCCTAAATTTCAGTTTGTTGGTACTGATTTAAAACTATTTTATTTACTAAAAACTTATACATATTGTTCAAACCCTATTCAATGTAGGCCAGTCAGTGGTGCAGTTGGAAAATAATGTTCTCAGCAAATGTTAGGTCTGGGGCAGATGTTTAATAACAAGTTCTGAGACTGTGTGGTGACTTGCAGAAGTCCTGTTTTTCAGATGTGACTATTTATGCACAGATGGATCCTGTCCTGGGCTGGGCTCCTTTCCTGAATTGTTTCGCTCCTGGGTAACTACCTGCAGATAGAAGTTTGTCTTGGCTAAGGTCGGCAGAATTTGTTTCGAATTTATGCAGCGGAGTGATCAAGGACTTAGACGGGCATGAGGAGGTGAGCTTTCACTGCCATTCTTTCTGTACCACTGGACTTAAAGGAAAATTTGGGAGAAAATGAAACCCAGACATTTTCCCATAATTAGCTTTAATTCACTGCTGCTCCTATAACTATAAGCCTGGTCCAAAGCTGGCCTTCGGTGAACATACTCTACTGGGAAGTTCCAAACATTTATTGCCAGAATGCTTACACCAAGTTCACAACCAAGTCAGTCCCCTAAGACCCAGGCTAGTCGAGACTCATTATGCTCTTGGGAAGTGCAAGAACTCTGACAGGTAGGAATGCACTAACTCAACCTTAAAATATCTGTCCTGGCAATTATCCACACTCAGGTTTTTTTGAAAGAAAATGAGGTTACCCATGTATATGGTTCAACTTGCCATGCCCTACTGACAAGGAGAAACTATTTTCAATCAGGGGAAGAAAATAATGTTGAGAGATGAAAATGTAACATTACGCTCTGAATGCAACATATTTTAAATAAATATTTTAATTCTATTGTTGGCATTTACAAGTAGAAAGCATACAGTATGTTACAAATATCAAAATGTGAAAAATATGAACGTTACATAAGTAACAAATGTAAAAAAAGTATTTTCTTACCTTCCCGGAAAGTAAGAAAACTATTCAGCATAAGAAAATATCAGTATCAAAAACACAGCTTAGGTGTAAAAAACAAAACCCAAAACACGTTTTCACAAGGTATTAAAAAATGATCTACAAAATGACAGAAAGTAAGAAGTGATGAAATTTGACTTTATATAAATTATAAAAACTGGGTACTTAGGGTACATGCTAAATGGTTGAAGAGTGTGTCCAATCATAGGCTTTGCTTAGGTCAATTCTTTAAAAATTTAAAAGCGTAGAACATTTTTCAATAAATAACTTTCAACAGTGTCTCTGAGAGGCGCGGCTGGGGCCTTCCTCCACGGCAGCAGGCGGCAGTGTTCTGGGACAACATGCAATCACTCTGTTCCTTAGTGGAAAGCCTGATGCAAATGAGACCATCGCTGTTTACACAGAAAAGAGTCAGAAGTTTTAACACAATTTCGTAAGAAAGTTCTAAAGTGCTGAACACAATGACTTAACTTCAGTACCCAAGGTCATGTACAAGGCATTCAAACCTTCAGACATTTCCGATAAACATCGAATATGGAGGCTACGATTCTGAGAAGCGTTAATACTTAGTCTTTCCTTCAAGGGCAGGAGGGCTCTTTTCTACACTTTACAGGGATTGGCTAAACCCTCAAGGGTCTGCAAAGCAAAACGTTAACAATAGTAACACAACGGCAACAATACACAACCCCGCTGTGACAGCCACAAGTTCATTTCTGCAACGGCAATGCTATTCCTGCTTAAAGTCACCACGCGGGCCTTGGCCAAGTAAGAAAAACCTTTCCGAACGCTGCGCCCCGGTCACCGGTCACACCGTACGAAGCATGCAGGACAACAAAGGCAACGGAGCGCGTTCAAATGACAGAGCTGTTCTGCGCCGGTTTCAGCAGCATCATGGCTATTATTTTTGAGTTTCCCTCCAGCACCAGCCCTGACTGGCCGGTTTTGCAAACACGACCCGCCCTGGTGGGTGACCTGCGGGCCGCGGGGGGCGTCCCTTGTGTTCCTGTCTCCTTTGCGCCAGCACACGGCGCTCACACATACTGTTCGGCTTCCCCCTCTTTGGGGACCGGCTGACTGGTCCCACTTTTGCCGTCTTCGTTGGCTGCTGCTTTTTCTGGGAGAGATGCCAAATCCTTAAAAACATCCACATAGTGGCCAAAGCCGGGGCCCCAGTTCAAGAGGTTGTCCCAGTTGAAATTCCCCGCTTGCTGCCCGAGCTTCAGGGGCAGCGTGCTGTCGGCCACGCCGGGCGCCTGCGAGCCCACGGGCGCCCCCTCCGCCCGGCGGCCGTGGTATCTTCGGGGCTTCAGTCTGGCGCCGTAATTATCCTCGTCGTCTGCATCCGATTCGTTGACTTGCGAGAGCTTGGGCATCCTGGAAGTGTAGACCATCGGCTTCTCCCGGTCGTACTCCATTTCCGAGCAGGTGAAAGACTCGTGCGAGTCGCTGTCGGAAGAAGATTCGGGAGCGGGGATGCCATCGGCGGGGTTCCTGGTCCTGGACAGCGGCCGCCGGCAGTCCTCCTCCGAGGAAGACCGGCCGTGGTCCGCGCTGCAGATGCTCGGGTTCCTCGGGCGAGGGGTGTTGAGCCTCTCCACCTCTTCGATGGACAGTCCCACGGGCGGCGAGGATTCCAGAGGGATCTGCCCCATGGGCTGCTTCAAGCGGCTCCCGGGTCGAGAGCCGTGCGGGGCCAGGGCCTGGGGGCTCTTGCTCCTCCTGCCCAGCCTCGTGGGGTAGTTGAAGATGCCCGGCTGGCAGGCGTCCCCGTGCATGTCCGCCACGTTGCCGTCCCGCACGGGGAGGTGCAGCTCCCGCGCCGGGCTGTTCCGGTAGAAGGTGGAGGCCTTGGAGAACGGCGCGGGGCTGTGCCGGGACAGGGGGTTGGGCGTCGGGCAGGCGGAGTGGCTCAGGGAGCTGGTTCGCAGGCCCTGGCCGTAGGAAGGCTGGTAGGTCAGGCTGCTGGCCCCCAGGGGCATGGGGGACTGGCGCGCGAAGCCCAGGGGGCTGTGCCGCTGGATGGAGAACTTGGGGGTGTGGCTGCGGAACTGCTTGTAGTGCTGGATGATGTCTGCGTCCGAAGGGGCGATGCTGCTGGCGTTGTCGATGTCGTAGTGCTCGATCTCCTGCTCCGGGGAGGCCAGGGGGGCGCTGGGGATGGTCTCCGAGTTGTGGGGGATATCGGTCTCGTCGTAGATGAGGTAGGGGTTCTCCCTCTCAATGATATCTGGCTTGGGGTTCCCCTCAGGCTGCTTCCGCACCGTCATGTCGTCCCCGTAGGGGGGGATGTTGTCTGGGTCATCGAAGGCCACGTTCTCACTCCCCTTTTTCTTCTTCTCCTTCGGTTTCTTCTCCTCCTTGGGGTTTTTGGTCTTCTTGCCCCGGCACTGGTTGCAAAGAATCAGGCTGAGGACCAGGAGGGCCAGGACGGTGGCGCAGCTACCCACGATGGCGGGCACGGCCCACAGAGGCAGGGAGATCTCTTCGGGGCCCTGACTCAGAACACAGACATGCCCTCCGGGGCTTCCGGCTTTGCACACCCTCCCCTGAGGACAGACGACACCGAGGCAGGCCACCACCGTCTCACAGGTGCTCCCTGTGTGCGACTCCGGGCAGCTACAGGTGAAGCCGGAGTGCAGGCCTGGCTCGCAGCTGCCCCCGTTCTGGCAGGGGTGGGAGGCGCAGTCCCCGGGGGGCACGCACTTGTAGGCGTACCACTGGTTGATGCACAGTAAGTCGCCCCAGCAGGGGTTGCTGGCACAAATGTTGGGCCCACGACAGCCGATCTTCACGGAGGGGTCCGTCTTGGAGATGGAGGCCAAGCTGTGCTTCCCGCTGAAAGGCAGGCTTTCTCCACCGTACAGCATAGAGGCGATGCAGCCATCGAACCCTGCGGGGAGAAGGAGCCGTGGGCCGATTTAGAGAAAACCAGAGGCTGTGATGGAATCTGGTCAAGAGAAGCTTCACAATCATGTCACAGGCGCTTAGAGACAGCCGTCTAGGAGCCATCATCCAGCTCCAGGGCAATACATCTGTGCATCTGACACGCTAACTTCTTAGCAAGACTTCCACAAGGAAATTGGGGAGGATCGCTCAGATCCCACTCTTCCCCAACATTTATGGATGACCCAGATGGGCTGGATTTGCTTTTTCTCCTTCTTTTTATTTATTTGGTCATCTATTTGTTTCATTTTTGTAGTCTCTATACCAAGAACTGCATACGTAGAAATAAAATTTATTTTAACAAATACTTATAAAGAACACAAAATAGGCCAATGGATTCCATCATTAGATCGTACATTCTCAATGGAGGTGATATTGCTCCCAAGGAGCTGAGCAAAAAAAGGAAGCAAGAGAAATGCCTTCGCTATTATAGTGGTTTGTGGATCTTGAGAGGGCAGATTTAGAGTATAAGTCTATATCTCATGAGGTGGGGATATTGGGGGTTAGAAAAAAGATCTACAATGGCTCCTTAGAAGGTGAAGATTATTTTTTTAAGAAGTTGAGAAAACGTTGCTAGACTAGAGTGTGCTAACCTTGCTAATGTTCCTATTAGCCCAAGACTCTATTTTGTCACTAATAAAATGCCTGATTTACATTGATTTGTTTTTCTAAAACACCCCAAAGGATGAACATTCCTATTCTCAAATAAGCTAAATATAAATGACTTATGGCCTGGACTTGGACTTTGATGCCCTAACTCCATTACTCTCTCATGCATTTTTCAATTTTCCTCTTACTGATGCATCATTCCATCCCAGTGACCTTTCCGTCCCTCATCCATTCTTTTTCCATGAGCTGAGACATCTCCTGCATTTGCTCCTACTCTCTCCGTTTTCCTTTTAGGCTCCTTTCTTTCTCATTCAATCATATCCATGCTCAGTACTTCAATTACCTGCTTGACACTGATAACTCCTAATGGATTTTCAGGGGAAGTCCACTCCTCAATCTAGCCCATCTACCAAAAGGTCTTTCTCAATGGTGCTCCACACCCAAAATGTGCCCTACCAAATCTTGATATTTCCCATAGACCTGCTTCTTTTTGTACTCTTCTGCACTTGCCTTTCTCAGCGGAACTAGCCTTCTTCTAGTGGAAAAGTCAGAAACTTCCTTGAATTTTACCAAAATCACCAACAGTTTGGTTGACTTAAATTTTTAAAAATACTTTTTCCCTATCCATTTCTGTACAACCCCTCTCCACCACACTAGTCAAAGCTCACATCACTGCAATGTTTTCCCAGGTAATTTATGCAAGTTCACTGGTATTCTCCTCCAACACATTCTCCATGGCAGAGCCTGAAAGATCTTTAACATCATGGGACACTTTTAAGACTAATTTTTTAGTTAACTTCCCACTGTTCTGAGAATAAGAACAAAACTATATCATGTTTTAGAAGGACCTACTTCATCCTTTACCTGTGACATCAGCCCCCAAGGTGCTGAATTACTCTTGAATTATTCTACTTTTTTTTTTAGTTCCTATCAAAATAATTCAATCTTTCATATTCTCCTATCTTCATCTTTATAATTCAGATTTAAGTACAAATGCCAATTTTCCAGGAAAGCTTCCCTTTTTCCTCTTTTGGGAAATCTCTTATAATTCTATATTCTCCCTTCACATCATTTGTTATAGCTTAAAATAATATATTTACTTGTATAATGATTTGATTAATGTTTGTCTCCCTTATTGGGCCTTGTGTTCTATGAGGAAAGTGGCTATTTATTAAGTCCACCATTGCACTCCCAGTAGCCAGCATAGGGTTCAGAATTATCTGTTGTGTGAATGAACAAATGAATGAATAAGTGAATAAATATATAAATAGATGCTTGGTGGACAAAGAAACATCAAAACACCATGGGCTGAACTATGACTTGGTAGAACAAATGCAAATGTCTAAGGTAAGTGATGGCCGATAATTCATTATAAACTTTCCAAGGATAGCGATGACATTCTTAGAATACTCATAATAGGTGTTACCAGAAATCTGATTACTTTTAGAGAAACAGCTTTACCTTTTCTTTGTGATTGTACTCAGCATGAGCATTTACCTGTTTGAGTATCTCGATGAGCTTGATTGGGTGGAATTCCTCCAAGGGATATAGTGAGCACGTCGAGGCCACCAAAATTCTGAGTAGGGTGGGCGATATCTCTGTTGTATATCCTGTCGATGGACAGTACTGTGGCTGTTCCATTTTTTCCGATTAGAAAGGTATGCCAGTGGCCATCAGCAACATACACCTCAGGAATATTTCTCTCCACTTTCCCAGCAATTCCTGCATCTGATGTAAAATGTACTTTGCCATTCTTAATCTATAAACATAGTAAAGACAATGTACAATTAAACTTTAACATACTTGAATAAAAACAAAGTAAAACCTTAAAATATTGGTCAGTTCAAAGCAGCTATAATAGATGAAGAGACTGAATATATTAGAGTATACTTACCTATCAAGCTCTATGATTTTAGGTAGCATATACCTTCACATTCAATAGTTTCAATTGTTTTCAAGGTATTATTATATTTGTACTTAATTATTCAAGATGCAGAGAATTATCTTCCAGAACACAATTGAGATAGTAATGAGATGAATGGCCCTTTTAAGATAAGTAAATTAATTTTTTAATGATTTCCTATAATTTTTCAAAAAATATGTTTTTGTTGATTTTAGAAAGAGAAAGCGAAAGGGAGAGAGAGGAAGAGAAACATCAATGTGGGGGAGAAACATCAATTGGTTGCCTCCTGCACATGCACCGACCAGGGATTGAACCAGAAACCCGAGTATGTGCCCTAACAGAGAATCAAATGGGTGACCTTCTTGTGCTTGGACGATACTCAATCAATTGAGCCATACTGGCAGAGCATGCTTTCCTATAATTTAATGGCAATGGTGAGTGTAAATAAAATTGGTCAGTTTAGTACATGGCCAATAATGATAAAAATATTAAAACTACTTGCAAAATAAGTCAATTCTTAGATAAAAATGAAGAATAGTTGGAAAAATAAAGACAAAAATAAATTGTTTCACCTGTCATATATGATACACTGAAATCTTAGAAAGAAATCATGTCTAGTATTTACATCAGTTATTGAGATTAAAAAGAACTATGATGAATAAATGTTGAGTTCTTAATAATGAGGTGTCTGGGCAAGTCTTCACTTTGGCTCTCTTCCAATTTATCTAAGGGATATTCGGTTTCTGTTACTTCGCCCAGTAGAACGTTGGGTAACAGAATGCTCCTACTCCCATTTCCAACCAAGTTTCCAGTATTCCGCCTAGACACTTTAGGAAATAAAATAATTTATGAGGCAGATGAACATTTGGTTCAGAGAGCATCATCCCATCAAACTCCCAGACAGAGCTGGTGCCGGCAGGAGGATGAAGTGACACCATGTCTCAAATGACAGGCATGAAAGGATGGATCAGTTTATGTTGTCACTCAGATCAAATGCCATTTCTCCATGCAACAAACACATCTGGTAGAACTAAAAGTCAGTACATCTGTACTGTGGAAAATATGCCTAACACATTTACATATGTTATTCATATTGTAATATTTTATTAAAGCAGTCTCTCTAGATAATAATATATTTCAGTACCAAACTCAGATAGAAAAAAAGAGAGTTGTGGTTAAATGACAATAACATTTCATCAAATGGGCAACGTCTCATGACATGCGGTAAAAACAGCAACTCGTCTTTGGTTGTAGCCAGAGTCCTTTTTGGAAACCGGCCTTGGGAAGAGCCTTCTCCCAGCTCTGTGTTTCTCGCCTGATGGATCACAACTCATCATCCTTTTATCTGAAGAGGGGTCTTTGGGATATACCACAGAGTGGATTCAATAAGAACATGACAACATTCTTCATGTTTTCCTTTTCCCTAATAATGCTCTACCAAACTCCTGTATTCTTTTTAACTTTCCAAACATCCTGCTAATGTTTTGCTTTGTTCATTCATTTATTTTTTAATCAACAGAACTCTGAATCCCTCATCCCAAGTCTGTACAATATACCTAGCCTCACTTAGAAACAAAACAAACCAAAAAGCTCTGCACCAAACCACAGAATTGATTTGGAGTAGTAAGTCCATCATCTGTTATTACAGAACTCCAACATGGAGAGACACAATACGCCATGACAGACAGGAGATTTGGGGAACACTTTATAGTGTCAACACACTATACACAAGCGGACATTCCTTTTGCTTTTCTGGCTGAGATGTCCTCACCCTCATTTCTTTTTTATCCAGACAGATTCTGTTGATATATTCGCATCTCTTCTCGCATTGCTATTGCTATTCACCACTGACCCTCTCCTCCACAACCGTTTACAACCCCGTCCTTTTTCATTTTCACAGAAAGTGTGTGTTTGCAATGTGTGTGTGAGAGAGATGGAGAGAGAGAGAGAGAGAGAGAGAGAGAGAGAGAGAGAGAGAGAGAGAGAGAGAAGCTGATTTAGAGTATGCAAAAAGGAAGAAAGAAACTGTCAGAAAGAGAGCCAAAGGAAAGAAAGAAGAAAACCAGGGGCCGTGGCCACTGATAAGCTGGCTGATAAGTAAGTCATTTGAACTGGCTCCCAGGCTGCACAAGCACATCGTATTCCTGTCATCCAAATAGCATGCCTGCTCCCAACAGTCACCCTCTTCCTGTCTACTGACTCCTCCTGATTCACTGGTTCTGGTTGTTGTTGTTTTTAATCTACTTACTTCACCTGCCAAGCCCCTTTCATCTCTGAAAAGATGCTTTTCAAAATTTCATACAAAAGAAATGTGCCTTTTGGTCTCTTTAGTCATTATTTTATTCGTTTGCACTGACTTTGCCCTTCTCTTCGAAAGCACTCACTACCCAGGGCACACAATCTGGAGAAGCAGCCTGCTGCCGGGCTGCGGGAAATGCAAGATTTTATGGTGACAAAAATGGATCCTGACATTCAGCCTCTTCCTCAAGGAAGAGGAAAGGCTGCCCCTGGTGTCTTCAACCACATTGCATTTTGCATGTCTTGGCTTAAGGAGATACTGTACAGAAAATGTTCACATGTCATTTAAATGGAACAAGGACTTGGAAGCAGCTTAACGGATAATGCGCAGACCTCCATGTCAGCGCCTCTGAACGCATATAAAACATTTCCTATAGACATGCAGGTCTACTCCTCTCTCTGCTTCTTTGTTTTCTTGGCTTTTAATACACTTTCCAATGAAAATGATAAACACCAACTAATAACATTATACAATGACTCGCATGCTTTGTTTTGTAGTTGCTCCGTTAATTCGGGAACTGGCTCTTTGTTTCCATAGTGGAGGTAGAGTTACAGGCTGAAGACGTTCCTTAGGCCTGGGTTAGGGCAGTTTCTCACTCTGGCACCAATGACATTTTGAACTGAATGATTCTTTTTTGTGGGATGCTGTGTTGTGCACTGTAGGATGTTTAGAGATATGCCATCCCCCCAAACCAGGACAATAAAAATTGTCTCCAGACATTGCCAAGTGTCCATCCAAGGTAACATCACCCCCAGATGGGAATGACTAGACTAGGGGATTATAATATGACTAGAGGCCCAGTGTATAAAAATTCATGCACTGGAGGCGGGTCCCTCAGCCCGGCCTGCCCCCTCTCACAGTCCGAGAGCCCTCAGGGGAAGGAGGCGACCCAGCGATCAGGGGAAGGCGATGCCCCCAGCACACCTCTGCTGCTGCCACTGTCGGCAGCACAAGCCTCGGCCGGCCCTGGTCACCTGAGCCTCAGATGGTCCTAGGCGTCTGGGCAGCCGCCATCCAAGGCTTGCTTGCACCTCAGGCGTTGGCTGGGCAGCTGACATCCGAGGCTTGCCTGCACCTCGGGCTGGCCCAAGGCGCTGGACAGCTGACATCCAAGGTTTGCCTGTGCCTCGGGCTGGCCCTTGGTGGCTGGGGGGCTGAGGGCAGGTCCGGCCGCACCATGCGCCTGCTGCCAACCCCCGGCTGGGCTGAAAGGACTGTGGGACTCCCGGCAGGCACAAGGAGTGGCCGAACCCGCCCGGCCACACCACGTGCCTGCCACCTCCCCGGTGGGGCTGAAAGGACTGGGGGAATCCGGTGGGGCTGAGGGGACTGGGCACTGCCATCTTGTGGCTATGGGTGCCGCCATCTTTGTGACAGAGTGATGGTCAATTTGCATATTCCTTCTTTATTAGATAGGATAATTTTTAAAAGATTGGTATTTTCTACTTCTTATTAAAGATGTGTACATGGAACATACCAACCAGAGTTGGCTTGAATAAAGAGAAATTTTGAGAATAAAGAGGCTGAAGTTTAAAGGTGAACATGTTTTTATTTTTAGTATTATATGTGAATTAAACCTAGCGCTTTTCTATGCATTTTGCTTTTGGCTTTATTAGCTAAGCTTCTAGTAATTTTCAAAATATTGCTTTATAGGTGAAAAAAATTCAGGAAATTTAGGTTTGTTTTCTTAAAGAATTTACCAAAACTCATATAAAATTATGAGTAGAATTATAATATACAAAGTAATGTAGAAAGCAATCAATATAACTAAACTGAAGAAAATGGTTATCTCAGAGATGTCTTTTTTGTGGGATAGAAAGCAGAATGATCGTTTTAGGAATAAAGAATTCTGAGTTGATGGAAAATGCATGTCTAATGAAATTATTCACCAGTGCAGTGCCTCATTTACAATCAAGAAAAAAATAAGAAATGATGTAAAAGCTTAATGATAAATCAATCCACTGTTTTCATGAAATATGATGTTTAAAAATATTTATTTAGAGATTTGGAGAATTTAGCTATAATTTTACTTATAATAATTCTAAAGATACTTAATTTCACAAGGTTTACCAGGAGGTAAGTTGAAAATATGCTCCAGAGTAAAGCCAGATAATTTCAAATGTTTGCCCTTATTGCAGTCCTGCCCTTAAATGTACAGGGTGGGGCAAACATAGGTTTAGAGTTGTGAGTACATGAAACAGAGTTTATTCTTTTTATTTTTATTTTTTTAAAATATATTTTATTGATTTTCTACAGAGAGGAAGGGAGAGAGACAGAGAGTTAGAAACATCGATGAGAGAGAAACATCGATCAGCTGCCTCCTGCACATCTCCCACTGGGGATGTGCCCGCAACCCAGGCACATGCCCCTGACCGGAATCGAACCTGGGACCCTTCAGTCCACAGGCTGACGCTCTATCCACTGAGCCAAACCGGTCTCGGCCAGAGTTTATTCTTAAATTATTACTTATTAATCATTGTATTATTTTCCATAAGAACAACTGTAAACCTACTTTTGCCCCACCCTGTACATATACCATTGTTTGAAATAATTCTTGGAGAAAAGTATTTTTCCTTTTCAAAGACACATTATCCTTTTGTTTTACTTTGTTTAAAAGTAGGGGGAAAAGCAATATAAATTTTTATCAGACAACATAGATCGCAACAAATTCTTTCCCTGCTGGCCTACCTAGCAGTGCTCTCTACTCTAAACCAAGACAAAAGTGTTTAGAAACCAAAGCATGCAGATCTTTGTTACTCTGGCCAATGCCTGGGAAATAGCTAAGATAGACGATATTGGACTAGTGCCCAGCATCAGTCGGAACTCTAATGGGCTGTAAGAGCAGAGGACAGAAATTGTGGGAGAAGTGATTTAAACCATGACACAGCAGGCGGTCTAATCAAATGAAGTCACCATTAGCTTTTATCTTACCTTCACAGTAGTATAATTGCTGCTTTCTTGGATATGGATTAAAATGCCATTCTCGCTTCTCGTCCTGAACTTTACTTCCAGACTGTTCACACCAAAAGGCTCCATCGTGGCCCCCCGTATGCTCTGTCTTAACAGATATTCCCGCTTCTCATTCTGACTCATGTGGTAGTCCAAGCGCCCTTTGCCTTCCAATGACAAGGCAGTGTCAGGAGTAATAGCTGCAAGCCAGCAAAGAAAGGGACAAATAAATGCACCCATTATTTCCTAAAGAGTGTCAATAGGTGACAAAACATTATAAAAAGGGACAATAAAAATATTGTGTTTAGAATTAATGTCTCCCAATTCTCCTATTGAAAAAAGAATTGCCACATGTGAATTATTGTAGGAGTTGATTTCAAATGCTTAAATCCATTTCAGAACCATGAAATGTAAAACATTTTATGACACACATTAATCATTTGGGAAATATTCAATAAATACTTGATACTTGATATAAATTATGAATATCTGAAGAGATTGCCACCTGTTAAAATTTGGGGGAAACACAGTGAATCATTATTTATTTATAATGGTTTACTGTGTTTCCAAAATTCATAAATGAATATATATTTTCATAGTTAAAGTGCTTTGCAATCTTTAAAGTCTCTAGCAATTAGAAACTTGAAGAAAAAATAATCACATATTTATATTTGTAACTGACTTTATGATTAGTAATAATCATACAGAATTTAATTTATCATCATTTATAATTATGACTTATCATAATTTGATAATGTTTTCACACTACTGAAGTGTGGCAGTTTGTTATAGCACCATAGCTAAAGAAAAAGCATCAAATTAGCATAAAAGGGCTTCAGCATTCAATGGTACATGTCAAAAAGGCAAATTTTATAGTATGTAAATTACATTTTTTTCAAAGCAAGATATTTCTAAAGCCAATGACACATTTCATATTCAGATATAATTTGGCTCCTACTTATTAAATACTCATTACTTTAAAAAATATGCGTCAAAGTCCTTTTGCTATGTTGTGATTTTAACCTAAATAATTAAACACAATTATACCTCTTCTACTAACATTTTTTATTATAGTGTCCTTAATTTAATCATGAATTTCTATTTATTCTCATATTATAATAGAACCAAATGACTCTTTTAAAAAGTAGTCAGTTAAATGCAGTGATTTCAGTACTAACCTCTTATTAGAAAATGAAGCAATTTTTATAAAAGAGAGCTCATTAGGGTTGGATAGTTAGTGGATGTACAGCTTGAAATTAGAAAAAGCCACAGTCTAATGATGGCTTGAACATCATTAATATCTTATTAACATTAGGGTTTAGAAACAAATCACTAATAAAAGGATTTAAAACCAATTTTAATAATTGAAAGTTAAAATTCAAGTATCATTTTAATTGTAATAGATTATAATGCATTGTATGATGTTTTGAGTCCTGTGTTCAGTGATTTATCATACTATTTTTCTACCAAATATAAAATATTCACCAGAGAAATATTGCCAAAAGGCAGATAATATGAAGCCCCTGGCCTTGTAGATTGCCTAGCTTTCCTAAAGGTAAACCAAACATAAGTGATATAATTTTAAAATAGAGCCCTAGCAGGTTTTGCTCAGTGGATAGAGCGTCGACCTGCAGACTGACGGGTCCCAGGTTCGATTCTGGTCAAGGGCACATGCCCAGGTTGTGGGCTCAATCCCCAGTGTGGGGCTTACAGGAGGCAGCCCATTAATGATTCTCTCTCATCATTGATGTTTCTATCTCTCCCCCTCCCTTCCTCTCTGAAATCAATGGGAAAAAAATACATATATATATATTAAAAAGGAAACGAATGATGTATTTAGTAAATCATTTTAAAAAGATGTCACTCTTCCTCAAGTTAAAAATACAAATTTTAAAATGTCACTATATTCACTGATGATTGCCCATTTAATATTTTCAATATTTAGAATGAAAACATAATTTAATTCCTTGTTTAGGAGCATATATCTATATTGTCATAGTTACTATAATTTCCAGTGAAAGGTGAGACGCTTGCATACATTTTTCACAGTATTTGCCAGTCAGCCCCTCTTTGCAGTGACACTGCTGCCATGACCAGTAATCCGTGCACGTGCCGCCGTGCTGGCAGGGGCTGCGAGTACACGCGCCTTCCAGTCTGGGGCATCTGAAAGCAAGTCACAACAAAGACTCAGAAATCACAAGACCAGGTGGGAGAAATGTGTTAAAATTAAACACAAATGTTTATTAACCTGCTTTGTTTCGTGCATTCAATTCTTTGAAACTCAAGTGACAACATTTATAGCATCTAATCAAACTGTGACAAATGACCTGCCTCATTCATAAAGGAGAAGATTAAACAGAGTAACACCTTACACGGTAAAGAAAAAGAGGTGATAATTTTTTGTTTAAATTAATTTTAAATGGAGCAAGTCATCTTGGCCCAATAACCACTGTAGTTAATGTGATCTCTGGGCTACATATTTATTTGAAGGCACATCTCCTCCACCAGACAACTCATGCAACTAATGTTTATCAAATGTCTTCTGTATAGCAAGCGCTATGCCAAGCATGGAGATAATGTGATGAAAAAACCCCATGTATTCATGGAATATTTGTTTTTCCTGTGGGGGAAATGGGCAAAAAACAAATTTAGACAAATGTTCAAAGATGGAAGTTCTATGGAAATGGTGAGACAGAGAATGGGTATTGGGGGTTTTAGGGGTTGCTGGGTCTCTAGATTAGGCAGTGAAGGAAGGACCCATCACTTTTATAAAGACCTAAACAAAGTGAGAGAGCAAAGTAAATCTGGTAGAAGATGGTTCTGGGCAGAGGAAACAGTCAGTGAGAAAGCCCTGTCATGTGTGAGGAACACCAAGGGGCCCAACATGGTTAGAGCACAGAGACAAGGGGAAGTGTAAGAGTGTAAGTCGATGTAGTGAGGAGTTAAGGGGGAGGCCTGACCATGAAGGACTGGTACGTCAGGGTAGGAACTATGTTGTTTTTAAAATATCATTCTGGTTGCTGGTAGATTAGATGTGACATGTGTCAGAAAGAGAGGGGCCAAAGGTAAGTCTAAAAGTTTTGGCTGAGCCGGTGGGTAGATTGAGCTATTACTACCTGAGAGGAAATCTGTGGAAGGAGGAGGTTGGGAGGAGTCAGGAAGGAGGGCCTGAAGTTCAGTTTTAAACTAAAGTTTGTGATATTTGTTAGAAAATCACACATGGAAAGTTGAGTAGGGTGTTGGACATGAAGTTCAGAGGACAGGCCAAGTTGATGATAACTATTTAAGGGCCACCGGCTTTAGAGATAGTAGCTAAATCCAAGGACTATATAAAAAGTAACTTCAAGAATGAAAATAGATACAACCTAGAGGAGATTAAGGAGGAGAAAGGAAGAATTATAGTAGGAAACCAGGAGTATGCCATGTGCACAAACTGATAAACTACTTTTAGGGAGAGAGAGTGGTGGACTGTTCCTAATATTGCTGACATTCAAATATGATGAGAATTGACCACTGATTTTAGCAAAAGAAGTGAATAATCACTTTGATAAAGATTGACCAGTTTTTCAAAGATAGAGAATTAAGGTGGTAGAAAAAAGGAAAATGGGATTAATAAAGGTGTTTTTTTTTTTTTTTAAATAAAATGGGTGACATAACAGCATGAAGTGAGATGAGAAAAAAACAGTTGAGTGCTGGAGCACTGTTTTTAGAAAGTTTGTGGGATGCAGGCTATTGCTTGGTCTTTGTGGGAGTAGGAAGAGTTCATTCATAACAGGTTACAAAGTATGCTATAGGACACATGGGCAGACGTGGAGGAATGAGCTTTGGGGAGTTTTCATTCGACTGTAAAACTTTCTGAACTTTGGAAGCAAATTCATTAGCTGAGAAGAAGAGGCAGGGGATGTTTGAGGTCTGTGGAAAGAGGAAGCATGATCTAGTCATGAAGAGAGTGTGAAAATTATTAAGCTAGGGGAATACACTAAACTGCCAGGCAATATTATGTCCACACTCGAGGTTAGTAAACATGAATTTAAACAGGCTACAAACTCCTCAGGAGCTCCAGGCCAGGTGCCCACCTCAGGATTTAACTCACTAGCTGGTTGACTTGGGGCAAGATTTTACAAGTCTAAGTAGCTCAGTTACTTCATCTGTGAAATGAAAGTACATCTACCTCACAAAATGATTGTCAAGGTTAAAAGAACTGGTAGTGTAAAATGCTAAAAATACTGCTGGTGCATATAAGATATCAATAAATGTTGGTCTTTGTAGACACCAGATAAATCTGAAATTTAAAAAATAAAAGTGAATTCTCAAATTTGGGAGCTTTGACATAATTAGTCTTTAAGTCTCTTTATTCGAACATATTCAAAGAGAATGACATCCATCATATCAAAATAAGATATGTTTAGAAATAAAGCTCACCTTATTAAGTATAAGATAAAGTAATATTTCCAGTGAAGCTCCAGTCTTAAATTTAGAAACTTTCATGACAAAGTGATGAAAATTAGACAAAAATTCTCATTGAAAGAGAATTCAATTTCAATTTACAAATTTTCTGAAAAGTCATAAAATATATAATTCACATGAAGCACGATTTGAGGGGAAATCACTATTAGACTATTCCTTATAAAAAGGCATATATCAAGGCAACAAATTATGTACACATACTACCACTCTAACCTTTGATCATGCAGATACAGAAGAATGGATACTTTTAGGGCTTTGGACACAGCAATTTCATAATTTGATGGTCAATTATCATACACTTTTTGCATTTTCTTTAAAAGGGTAAGAAATAAAATTGCCATACTGGTCTAGGATGCCTTGAGCAGCCAGAGCTTGGCTGGGTTCCAGAGGCCTTCCATTCACTGCAAACTCCATGATGCACCCAATGAAATCATGGCTTTCCACGTGTCCTCTCCTCTGAAGAACTGGGTCTAGCGATCTGATACCTCCAACTGTGACTCGATTTGGCTGAACGTCAAGAGTCCTTCATAAGAAAGAAAAGTATGTTAGTACCGACATGATAGATTTTAGCAGGTTTCATTTAAAAAAAGTGTGAAGATAACTTTTTCTGGCAGGTGTCATAGGATGGTAAATTTGAGTGGAAAACATTACCGATGTGTAGGTAATGTCCACCAGACAGATACCTACAGGGTTATTTAAGGTCTGAATAATAATAAAACTTATAGAAATGGTATTTGCAGATAGTCAAGTGGGATGTATATAACTATGTTGAATTAGCAAGGAGCACACTATCAGAAAGAATATAAAATGCATTAGGAGTAGGGACAACTCTAATGTTAATGTCAGATTACGCTTTCCCTTCACTACAGAGATGATAAGGAATGTCAATAAATTGATTACTGCAAGGGATTATGTGACACTGTTTATTTTTCTGTTTGTTACTATTTCTACTAAAGTTACTTATGTTTTAGATAGGGTCATGATGTGTTCCACTTTGAAGTGCTATTGATAAATATCTGTCAGAACTTGTCACATACAACGTTCAGAGACTGTGTCTAAAAGGGGTGGAGCCCTTATCCTAGCCTTGCAGGACCCAAGTCACATGCAACTATTTCACCAGGATCCTTAGAGTCTAGGCTATGTGCATCTTTCCTTTCTGCAGCTGTATTCTCATCCTGGCCACTTCATTTCACACCTTCTTTTTAAAAACAAATTTTGTACACTACTTATTAACTTTTTACTTTGCAGCACAACAATCTCTTTGGAGAGGATGAAATACCTTAAATTTTGATGTAATACTTTGCATAACAAAATTACTTTCAATTGTGTAATTTCCTTTTTAATGTCAAGTAATGGTAAAGATCAAACTAACAGTTGTACGTACCAATCATCTGAGATGGCCACGTTACTGACAGTGCAGTATCCTGGTTCTTGGTTCTCAGAACAAGAGTCCACAGTTAAGGAAGCTGCCTGTACAGCAAGAGAAGGAAGCGTTTAGCCAAGTGCTACTGCCCCCAGTGTCCTTTCCAGCCAACACTGCCTGGGGCTGGTTTCGATGTGGACATGATTTTAAAATTGTGATAACATATTGATTCAGCATAATAAATACAATACAATAGTAAGTTATAGACACATATTTCTTTGATATGCCTAAAACTAAATTGTGAAGGAATTAATATAAGGGGTGGGAAAGTGCTTTAAAAAACCTTCTCCAGGCTCCTTTTTTATAGATGAAAGAATCAAAATGCCATAAACATCTCTTAGATATTATACAGTGGGTCTGAGACAGCTTCCTGGAGTTACAATAGTGATAAGCCTGTTTATTCTACTAGCCAACTAGTCTAGCAAATGAAAAACACACACATTATATTTCTGATTTTTTAAAGTCTTCTTCCAATAATATTTCATGCATATGTACAAAAAGATTTTGAAAGTACAATGTACATACTATTATAGCAACCTAAGAATATTGTAATACATGCATTAAAGTTAAATTTTTGAGATAATGTAAAGAAATAAATTAGATGCTTTTTTCAATTATAAGAATCATTATTTATAAAGAGTATGAGGTTGAAAATCTGCATATAACTGTTGACTTCCCAAAACTTAAGTTGTCCCTCTTTATCTGTTAATTCAGGACCCCCTGTGGATACCAAGTTAGGTGTATGCTCCCTAGATAAAGTGGCAAAGACCAATGAGTGCTGTCAGCCCTCTGCCTCCTGATCCTGGATCAAACAGCACAGGTATTTATTGAAAGAAATCCACATATAAATGGATGCACACAATTCAAACCCATGTTGTTCAAGGCTCAACTGTCTATGCAAATATTAATTTATAAGAATGGTTATCATTTGAGTTTAATTTTAACAGCAGAGCAAGTGTAAGAAGCAACACATGGAGGTCCAGCAAGTTGACCAACATTGCTCTTACATGCAAAAGTATCTATCTGGTTTTCAGTCTTCCCGAATCAAGTCACTTTCATTATGTATAGAAATTATTCATTTCCTTAATATCCCATTTTTATCAATATTACATATGATTTTGAGGAATTGTCCATAAAATGTGTACTTAGATGAGAGACTTGTAAAGGCATATCTTAAATACCTTACATTTCAGAAACAATGAATGGGGTCAATGTATAGTTTATTGTGCATCAAATATTACTAAAGTATTTTAAATTATTTCTATCAGTTAATTGTTATAACTTATAAGCTCCATACAATGAACTCTCACAAGCCATGTAAGTTTTTTTCTTGCCACCTTTTCAAGGAAATCATAATAAATACTAACATTATAGGAAACATTTACACTTCCAATTCTATGTCAAGACTTTTTTTTAATGTCCCATTTAGCTAACTCTTTCAATAATTAATAATTTTCCAATGTTCTATAAAATTGAGTGATATTAATCTCAAAGGCAGTATTAGGTTTTCATGATACAATTTATGTTGCTTATGTAGACTATTTCATTTATTTCTAAAAAACAAAAACAAACAAGAAAAACAAAAAACACAACAAAACATTAGCACATCTCTCTCTGCATATACAATGCAAAGTATCCAACAATTCCAGAGATCCCTAAAGCAATAATAAATTCAGGAGTATCACTGGATATTTATGAATGCCTCAACTAGAAAAAACAACTTAGATAATAGTATCATATTTCAGTCAGACTTAATATTTAATTTTTTTTTTTATTTTCTAAAAGTTTGGTGATACAACTCTAAGAGAAAATACCTGAGGGAAAGTTTTATTTGAATAGTAGCTCATGCAATTTAATCTTCAGAGTTAATGCACCTTCTTTATTACTGAATTTTTCTACCAGTACTGCTATAAATTGAGAAGTTTCTGTCCTGTCAATGAAATGATTCAAGCTGAGAAGTTAATGATTTTGCCAGTTTCCAACAGAGTCCTTCTAAACTATAGAAAACAGATTCAAAATCCAGTAGGGGCCTTATTTTGGATGTTTTCTGAAATAGGGAGACATTTTTCTGCTGACCGAAGTCACAATGACGAGTGTCTTTTCTCCACATTTAGTATTATTCAAACCCTGATGACTATGGCTACATATTACAAACAGACTGAAAGAATCCTTTTGCTCTCCCTTCCCTTTGGGCATACCTCATAGTACCTTTTTCCTTTTTTTCTCTCTCTCTTGCTCCCAAGCCCATGTGTGATACAATCAAAGTCATGAAGTATAAAGGGACCCTGGAGGTCAAGAGGCAAAATCATCTATTCCACATAAGAGTCCACTGACAACACCTTAGCTACAGAGTTATCTTACCTATGTTCTGAGAATTGGATGAGGGTGCTACCTACTATCCCTTATTAGAGTGACTGTTCATATCAGGAAATCATCAGCGCCTTACCATTCCTGCTCTCCTGGCAATCACAGTGTGAAAATGTCCGTCTGACACCTTCTTCATGGTGGTGAGTTTATATGTACCGCTGCCTAAATTGTAAGAGAATCTTAGTCTCTCTTCAGCAATTTCGAGAGCCAAAAATTCAGCCCGGTCCCCCGTCTGGTTGTCATAGTTGTAAAGCAATAAAGCATGACTTTTAATCGTTGCAAATTTGACATAAATATAGTTGTTATTGGGGTCCAAGCTGGGAAATTCCATGTAAGATAACTCCTCAAATCCATAACTATTCAACTCGCAGTGTTTTCCAAAGACACCTGTAGACAGAAAAAATTGAAAAATCGACACATCAAATTCCAGTGAATTTTATTAAAAAGCTTTGATTAAAATACAAAAATTAGTCATACTTACATTTTTTTCTTATTCTCCAAAGAATACTATCTAAACTAAATTGAAATAGAATGAATCCATGATCTTTAAAACATATAACAGATGATAAAGTGGTTTAAATGCTTTTCTTTGGCCAATTAGGGAACATTTAAGTATGCCCCATTTCTAAAAATTAGGATTAGTGGAATGAAGTATGTCTGAAAAGATTCTTTCCTGGAAAGCTTTCAAAATTAGTTGGTCAATCTTTTGAAAGTTTCATATGCTGCAATTTTCAAACAAGGTACTTTCTTCATAATATATAATTCTTTCTCCTATCTCATAAATTCTTAAAAACAATTTTAATTCAATTGAGCATGGTAAATTTTGTTTTGACTAAAAAAAATCAGTCCCTGTACCTGTGGTATTTTTAAGGGTCACAAATTACAGAAGAGAACCACTGCTTTTAGGAAAATAACTGTCTTAGTTTTTATTTCTTTCTTGTTTCATACCCACTCTGGGCATGATTTATACCAGGCTCCTTGGAAATAGTTTTCTGTTTTTTCCAAAATCAAGCATTCCCATTTGTTTGTGCTGGTTCTTTTTCAAACTTGAAAAATGAGTTTTATTGATGTTACAAAGCTATGCCAAAATTCTTTTCCCACAAATATTAGTAGACTGTAGCAAATGATTGGAAAATTAACCCATGCCAATACATCATGACTCTTATTAACTTGCAGAGGTTTCATTCCTTCATTTTGGCTGCACATCTCTTATAAATGTGTTACATTGAGAGTCAGGGAATTGTTCAACCAGAAGGAACCAATGCCATCATTTTACAGAATATTTAAAAATCGCCCAAGGCCACAGAACCATGGGAGTCAGAGCCAACACTGAAGGCTAGATCTCCTGATTGTCTAGTTGTTTAGCTGTACCACATTTTTTATCCAAATGTTCTTTAAATCAAAACAGCCTAGTAGCTGCTATAAAATCATGGGTCTACTATCTTTTCTTTTTCTGTAATCACATTCATTGTAAATGAGTAGAAATATAAATAATTTATTTTTATTAACTGAAGTTTAAAAAAAGGAAAGAAATATTTGAGTTGCATATTATAAATCATATGTTATATATGGTACACATTTATTTATATTATAAATATTTCATTCTATCATATAGTATTTATATTTTATGTTGTATCTATAATTTATACTCACATACAATAAGATTTTACAATTTATTTATATTAAACACTTATTATATTACATATACCTTAAAATGCAGAAGGAGTAGCCAAAGTTAAAGAAAGAGCATAGATAAAGCATACAAATTAAATAGATTATTGCAGAAATCTTCACTATGTATTTCCTCAGGTCTCTTCTGATTAAATTTTAATAAATCTATGAAAATGTGCTTAAATTGTATATTCACATTTGTAGAAAGTATACGGATCCCAGAAACATGTTCTACATTTTAACTGAAATCAATACTGTATATTCAAATATAAAAATATTTCTTCATGGAATATATTTTTTTCTTTTTAAGGAGTTTTGATATAGTTTCTAGAAAAAACTAAATTTCTATTTTGAAAATATAAACGTTGAAAAGTTGAGGATTTAAAAATTGCCTTCTATCTGAAATGCCACAAAATAAACACATAAAAGTCAAGAGTATTAAAATTACTCTAATATGGGATTTTTTGTGTGTGTGTGTATGAAGTTATACATATACAATTATACAGGCTCTCTTTTTAAAAGTCTTAAGCATTTTTTAAAAGTATATTTCTTTATTTACTTCAGAGAGGAAGGGAGAGGGAGAGAGAGATAGAAACATCAATGATAAGGGAGAATCACTGATTGGCTGCCTCCTGCATGCTCCACACTGGGGATCGAGCCTGCAACCTGGGCATATGCCCTTGGCCAGAACCGAGCCTGGGACCCTTCAGTCCGCAGGCCGATGCTCTATCTACTGAGCCAAACTGGCTAGGGCAAATCTTAAGCATTTTATGTTTTTTTTTCTAAAATCTAAATCTAAAAAAATCTAAATTAAAAAAAAAATCAAATCCAAACAAATCTTTCACTGTTGAGAAGGTAAACAGTGCAAATTTTTTTCCAACTTTGAAATTATGGTCAAGATGTTGTTTTATAGGATGCATGTGTAATGATCTCCAGCTATTTGTTTGAGGCATTCCATCTGCCATTTTTATTTGTATGTTTCACCCACATTCAATTTGAAAAGGGAAATACTTTTCCTTTCAATTCTCTCGGTCTGTAATCATGTATTACTGTTTCAAGGTTTTGTTGTTTTGTTTTGTAAGTGCTTCTGTTGTTGTCTGGCGATATTTAAGTTTAAATAATTTTTTTTGTTTGCCACTGTTAGGAACAGGGAGAGAAATTTGTACTGCCAGCCACATATGATCCGTCTCTATTTTAACTTAGCGGTTGTACTAGTCCCCTTTCCCTGGGTGAGGGCCCCAAAATACTTCTACCCAATAAGCAGTGACTGTTGTATCAGCTACACTGCAGCAACAGTTTATTCCCATTTAGTATCAATTACCTTAAATCCTCATATTTGTGATTGGAATGCAAAGGAATCTCTAAAAATGTAAACAACCTTTGTTCAGTCACTTGAAATCATTTTTCGACTTTCCACTCCAATCCCCTTATCTTTTATTCCAAAACTTAAGTTAAACCATGAAACCTGAATGCGGTTATGAGCAGAAGCAACACCCTCTAAGGATTATAAAACATCACTGAAAGAAAGAAGTTGTAGATCTGAAGTTGTGGTTATTTTGACCTTGATCTACCATTCCGTGTACCATGAACATTGTTTGTGAGAATCTCACATACATTTTAAAAAGGAGGGATACTGTGAATATCATGCTGGATTGAAAATAAAATTTTCTAGTCTCTATATCATTTTGGAGTAATTTTGTTTTGATTTTGTTTTTTCACCTTAGACAAAACCCTCAATGTCTGGGACTCAGAACCATTGCTAAAATGCATGGCTCACAATAAGGTAATTTTATATCTTGTTTCTCTTTATCATCCTATTGATGTGCTGTATAAAAACTAGATGGAGTCGTGGACTTATTTGAAAACCAATTAGCAGTATATTTCACTGGCTACTAGAAACCTCAGTTTATTTTTAAGTTCTATTCTGTACTATACATTAGAATTCACTTTTTAGGTCCACAGTAATATGTTCAAGGAAAACCAGAAAATATCCTTCTCCTCTTTTGCTTATGGAGGGTCTCTAACCACTGCAGGACATCTGGAGATGAATACTATAGTGTGAGTTAAGTCAGCCTTTAAACTGGTGGAATGGCCCAGCTGGTGTGGCTCAGTGGTTGAGCGTCGACCCATAAACCAAGAGGTCACTGGTTTGATTCCTGGTCAGGGCACATGCCCGGGTTGCAGACTTGATCCCCAGTAGGGGGCGTGCAGGAAGCAGCTGATCAATGTTTCTTTCTCATCAGTGTTTCTATCTCTCTATCCCTTTCCCTTCCCATCTCTCTAAAAATCAATACTTTTTTTTTAAATTGATGTAATGATTACAAACCAAGCTCAAATGAAAGCTTCCTCCAAAGCTTTTCTCATAGTCCTTGGCTGTCTCAGTGCCTGGCAACATTTGAGTGACACCTGGAAGGAATCTTTTCATTCATGTCACTGTGGTGCATATACAGGTATGTGTACAAAAAAAACTGTAACAACTTTCTTCCTCAAAAGAACACATTAGCCTGAATTTTGATTAGTTATGTTGATACTATCTACAAAATGCCTATAAACCCTTCTCATACAACTGTTTGAATTAATGTAAAAATCAAAAGCAAAACAAAACAAAAATCATTTTGAAGGATTATTTTTAAAGATTTGAAATAGAGAATGATGTCAAATAGTGCCTGAAAGATTTTTTACATGATAGGTTCTAGGCTGAAAAGAAGACAGCTGTAAGTATTGAGGGGAAATGTCCTGAGAACACAACATCAAATTCAATTATCTTCAGTTGATTATTTTTCTAGTAATGATCAAAGCAATATATTCAATGGGATTTCCATAATTAACTTTTAAGGATATTAAACCTTTGAGATTTTATTTTGCCAAAATCTCCTGTGTAAAACATTTCATATCGTCTTAATCACTCAGGGCCACAATAAAACAAAATTGCTAAACTGTGAGCCAAAATAGATTGACATTTTATATGGCCAGCAGAGCTATACTCACCAAATGGACAGTGGCAATAGTAGGACTCCACACCACTTTGGCAGGAACCACCATTAAAGCAGGGGTTGCATTCACAGTAGTTGACTGAAGATTCACACATTTTCCCTGAAAAACATCAGGCTCATTTAAAAAATCTTATGCATAAATATATTAACACCACCACTGCATAACCATATATAGAAATCTCTCCTGAGAGATTATATCTTAAAGAAAAGAAATATGAGAACATTCTACTTGACTTGGGGAAATTGAAATATTATCTGAGAGTTCAAAATCTTATTTAATCGTCCTATTGTAAAGATATGCATTATAATATTTAGGAAATAATTACACATACATCTTGAAATAAATAGTGTTTTTAGGTATTTAGGAAATCATAAATGGTGAAGAAATTTAGATGTTTCCCCTAATTTTTTTTCCGATGTTACTACATTTTTCACATTTTATAACTGAAGAGGTGAAACTTTTACAGGATAAGTTTCACTGTGGAGATGTCCTTGGCTCAGATTTGTTCAAAGTAATCAATCCCATTTAGCTTCTTTATTGAGCTACCATCTGTTCACTCTCAAGAAATATCCCTTAGCTTAATGCACGCCTACCTGATGTACAGCAGAATGAGACCTAAGAAAACACACCAAATACATTTTCAAATACTTATCAATATTTATTCTCGACCATGGATTATGAATACTTTGACTTTTTTCAAAACCAATAATATCTAACTGGCACATTTTTCAGTTTACAGAGACTATTCTCATTTATCATCTTGTCAAGCTGAATCAACTAATTTTGACTGAGTGCCTATTATGAACCAGACGTGCCAGAGGATGGAGGTATTGCAGTCAAGAAAACAGACAAGGGTCTTAACACAGTGTTTCTATTTTAATGGGGGAGATGATGCATTCAACAGCAAACATTTACATTCACAGGTGAAGGAGAAGAGTTCTTTGGAGGCTAATATCCACCAAAGAAATGATAAAACTACAGCCCAGACCAGTGTAGGTCAGCTCTCAGATCCAGGCTTCACAAGTTATAACTGAATAGTTGATCACTTTATCGGCAAAATTTAGGGTATAAGGCCTGTCCCACTTGTTTTTGTTGTGGTATTCTTTTCCTATGTAAACTTAAATGTGTTTTAATACCACCAACTTACACTCTGATCAATTACATGTTATTAATAGATGTATTTCATGTATAATAGAAGAGTTTCTAGTTTTCTGGTTCTAAGAAACAATGTGATGTTATCGATTTCTTAATTTCCATTCATTGACAGGAGGGTTTCACTATTTATCTAATTAAATAGAGTTTGTTTCTGTAAAGCATGACTGCACTAATGCTCTTATTAACTGTCTCATGAAGACATGTAAGTTTTATGTGCACAATTAGACTTAATGTTGAGCACCGATAATCCACTTCATCATAATAACTGCTTAAAACACAGTCAAAGTTTCTGTTTAATTTACTTATGTTTTTGTGGCGTGGGTATGTGGCCACAATCGTCCTGGTTTGAAATGACAAGTGTGAGTCAGACCTCATGACACTGCTAACAGAAATGTTCCTCTACTTCATGGGGTCATAAACACAACATTTTTCCTTTTATAAATAACATTGGGAACCTCCTTACAAGGCAAAACACTAACAATTTCAGAATACCTTCCTATTCTAAGGGGAAGTAATGAGCATAAACAAGTTACCAATATAGAAGCACAGAAATTATGCTTTAAGTATTGTAGTAACGTGTTACAGGCAGGACAATGTTTCCTAAGCCTGTCCAAACATCACACCAGAGACATGTTGTGTCATAGAGAACTCTATGGTGTTTTCCAACTGGATGTAAGACAGATTATTCTAAAGAAGGGGATTCTTTTTCTTAATGAAGCATCAGTATTGCCCCATAGAGAATAAATAAGACTTACTGGCTATCCTTTTGATTATTTATTTGCCATGAGGGAAGTCACAACTTCTACCACTTTTACCCACTATAAGAGCATCTGTAACTGTCCCATGTGTTGCTGGACTCAGTAAGGTTTCATGTTCTTTTTTTGAAAATCCTTTTAGAGTTGCATTACAAGTAGCATGTATTGAATACGTAGACTAATATATTTTATAGATGTGGTCAGTACCACCTTTATTTTGTGAAAGCATGCGTGGCTTACAAAATTACAGACTTCCCTTTGTGAAGACTGGAAATGTGGGGACAAAGGGGAACCAAAAGAGTGGTTTGAGAATGAAGTTAAAATAAATCCTCAACAAAATCTGATTTTTTTTGCAGATATAACAATATAAATAGACATTATAAGAGAAAAAAAAGTCAACTTTTAACTTAAAAGTGTTTTATTTTCTTATTTTTCTTTGGTAGATAATTATAAAAACTCGAGAAATGACTTTGGTAGGAGTCAAATAAATGAATTAACAATTAAGTTTGGGGAAAATAGTCTTATTTGTAGGGTGTTAGAGTATGTAAATTATTTACCATTCAAAAATTTCATTTGAGTACTCCATTTAATCAGCAAACTGTTTTACAAATTGTTTTACAATTAGTAAATTTGAAAGTGATTGCCATACTAGAAATGGGGATTTGAAGATACAATTTGAAAACTCCACTTAAATTATTCAAAAAAGCCTTTTTTTTTAATGTGAGGGAAAGATGTTATAATTTTACTTCAAATCAAAAGAAATCTCATAAATGCCTATGTCTCAGGTTTGGAAGATTCATGCATGCTTACTCACCCAACTGAAGTCAGCAATACAATCCGTATTATTTTGCATCTACTTCAGTTCTAGTGTTAATGGCATGGTGATTATCAGGGAATGCAGCAGTTTGAATTACACTAACACGCTCCTGGCAAAAATAACTTGATGTGTTGAAGCACCATGAAACACAATCTTGGATCATTAACTTAATTACTGCTGCAAGCCAGTTAACAATATTTGTCAGTGCCTTGAGGCTTGGAAGAGACTGACGAGTTTGCACAAAGAAAGGCATCCATGTCTTTGGAACTCAAGGAGCTTTTCCTATTAACATTCATTAACTGTCATATGTTAACTGTTAGCTGCTTAGAAGAATAAACTGATCTCACTGCTTGGAAATCCATCAGTTAACTATGTTGATATACATTATTTCTCATAGGTAGAAGGAATCGTGCTTCTGGAAGTGTAAGCTCTAAGCACCTGAGAATGGGAATTGTGGACGATGGAAATGAATGCATAACAACAGGCTAGGGAGGGCATGCACGGAATTTCCAAGGTTACAGTGAGCTTACTGAAGAAATTTAGCAAATGTGTTCATGTTCAGAGGTAGGTGTGATGAATTGTTAAACTCAAATCGAATCTATGGTGGTCACCTATGGTCTTTACAACAGGATGCATATTGGAGTTTCACTTGTGCTGATAGCACATTTGAATGTTAGATTATGTAGAGCTGAGCTACATTTATTCTCACCTGTTCAATTCGGCCAACCTATGAGGGTAGGATGATCCTTGATATCCTATAGCTCATGTATGCTTTAATATCATATACACATATATGAAATACATGTATATATTAGATCACCACAAGAATTTTTGCATTTCATATTTACAGAGAAGGGAGATTATGTGCAACTATCAAAGCCTATTTATGTCTAAATTAATTTTGTTAAAAATATAATTCCATAATACATATATGCTATTTATTCTGAATACTTATGCTTATAAGCTTTTAATTATTTTAGCAGAAAGTAGCTGTTTTTTGCAAACTATGTAAATGTTTCCTCTTAGTGTAAAATGCACTAGGAAGACAGTTAATCTAAATATTCTGATCAAGCAGCAGTATGTCTTTTATATCAAAACAATGCAAAAACATCATGTTTAATAAAGGCTGCTACTGAGAAAAGCAAAGAGGAAAAAAACTGTTTGCCTTTATATACATATTTTTATTTTTATTGATTTCAGAGAGGAAGGGAGAGAGAAATAGAAGCATCAATGATGAGAAAGAATCATTGATTGGCTGCCTCCTGCATGCCCTATACTGGGGATTGGGCCCACAATCCGGGCATGTGCTCTGATCAGGAATCGAACCGTGAATGAACTCCTGGTTCATAGGTCCATACTCAACTACTGAGCCACACCGGCTGGGCTGCCTTTGTATTTTAAAGCACATACGAAGACAATCTCAGTGAGGCTGCAGGCGATCATGTATAATGACATACGTAATCTCCATGAGAAGCTTACACATACATGCTTATTTTCTGCAGAAATAAGAAGCATTTAAGCTACTAGAAACCTGTTTTTAACACTGTAATAGGGTAATGTATCACTTAAGGTAAACTGTCTAATTCCTCTCTGGGAAATAAAATCAAAATAAGAATCGAGGCTTTTACCTTCTCTTGTTCATATGAACCACTTACTCCTCAGTATCTCAGAAAATTTCACTTCATATCACAGTGGTTTCCTGGTCTCGTGGTCACTGACAACTTAATATACGACTGCTGTGATTTTAAGAGAGTGACTCTTAGTTATCACCCCCATTGTCATGAATGCAAATGTTTGCCAAGTTTCATAGTAAAATGACTGTGCACAAGCTGTATCTCACTTTATAGATCTGGAAAAATATCCTATTTAGACTGTCAAATAACATGAGAGTGATGAATGGACAATCTCCTCCTCCCTGAAATGTCAGGGCTGGCTTACACCACAGCTAAAATGCCTCCAGATGTGTGAAAGCGAGCGGGAAAGGTTAAAGGGGCTATGAACTAATTCTGTTTACCTGCTGCGTTTTATAACACCATCCCTCCCTGTGAAGCAAACTAGAGAGAAGCAATGGGAAAGGCCTAGCTCCACGACCAATCACGAAGTCAGCCCCATTTATGCTGAAATCCGCATATGGTGCCCTGGCTCACGCCCATGGGACTTTCCCTGATCCCCGTCACCTATCAAATGCATTCACACTTTCTCCATGTTCAGGCTATGTGTAAACTCACTCTAAATCGAAGTGTGAAGGAGTCTGTTACACTAAAATGGGAAGTAACAATCTTTATTGTTAAATTCCCAGTAGAAGAAGCAACTTTTTTTGAGATGGGGTGAGGGGGGAGATTAGAGGGGTGAGGGTAAAGGAGGGGTGGAGGAGTGTAGTTTGTTTTTCCTTTAGAAATCCTGAACTCATAACATGTATATAGCCCTATTATTCATGGTCCTAAGACTACAACTCTGGTAAGACTCACACTTACCTTGTGCCACTGAGGTTTCTTGTCCTCTTAGTGATTCTGTGGCTCACCTCTCTTACCACCACTATTACACTAACACCTCTACGAATACTATTTATTGTCATTGCTACTTACTGAGTGGATTCGGGGCTAGGTGTTTTACAAACATTATTTAACTTATTACAACAACCCTAAGAGATAAGTAAGCATGATTATTCCCATTTTACAGATGGGGAAATTGAAGGTCAGCTGAAAGTCTGGAATTCACTTAGGTCCCGACTCTATAACAAATTCACTGAGTCACCTGAGGAAACAGACTTAGCTTCTCTCTACTTCAGTCTTCTCGTCCATAAAAAAATAATTATCTCTACTGCATAGGTTTCTTATCAGAAGTAAATAAAATAAGTACAGATCAAAGGCTTAGAACAGTATCTGGCCAATGGGAAATGCTGAAAGCATTTTCAATGCTTATACCCATTGTTACGTAAAAAAATCACTGAAAAATGAAAAACGAAAAACATTCATTACTTTCTATCATATCTTACCTGATACGGCTAACGTCTTAGTGCAAAGAGCCAAACATTACATACCTGTGTATCCAGTTTTGCAGACACAGTGGAAGCTTCCTGGGAAATTCTGGCAGACGGCACCGTTCTTACAAGGACTGGGCAGGCACTCGTTGATATCCCGCTCACAGGCCCTCCCTGTGAAGCCGTCTGGGCAGCTGCATGAAAATCCTCCCACCAAATTGTGGCAGGTGCCGCCATTGTGGCAAGGAGAGGGAAGACACTCATCTATGTCGACTTCACACCAGCTCCCAGCATAACCCGGCAGGCACTGGCACAGGAACGGCTGCAACGGCTCGTTGGCCACGATGATGACTGGAAGGCTTTCGTGGCTCTTGACCGCGGGGCTCACCGCCAGTCTTCGGAGGCAGCTCCCCCCGTTCTGGCACGGCCCGTGGGCACACGCGTCGTGATCCACAGACTCCACCTTCACCCCGCTCTGCCGGAGAAGGATCTCTTTGATGCTTTCGAAGAAGGTGGCCACACCGCTGGGATTCACGTACTGATTATGGCCCCGCTTCACGGCTGCGAAGAGAAATGTCCTGTTGTTCTCTTCATAGGCCCCATAGAGCTGCACTGCGGTGCCCAGGCCCGTGAGCTGAGAACCGGCGATGCGCAGGAAGTGAAGGTAGTGGTTGGTCAAGAAGTCCCTCACGGTTGGGACACTGAGCCGCAGGAGGATGCTGCTGTCTATCGTAGCGTTGGAAAAGCCAGCAAAGAAAACACGGATGTTGCTGGTGACTGTGCTGTGAACCCCGTCGCTGCTGAGGACGGTCAGATCGAACGTGCCATCGGTGGACCGTGGCTGGGAATGCAGATCACAAGTGCCCCTGGGAACACTGAAGAGGCTCGTCACCCCTGAGGTCAGGGAGCAGTGGAAGGTGTCCAACACGTCCGGATCCTGTGGCTTCACGGAGCCCAACAGCCCACCAGGAAACACGTTGCCATAATAATTAACAAATATCTCCACCGTCCGAGACTGGGAAGGATTGTCATTTTGGTCTAGCACGGTGATGTGCACAGTCCCTGTGGAAGACATCTGAGGCACACCAGAATCCCGAGTGACCACCGACAGATAGAAGTCTGAAATCTGCTCTCGGTCGATCTCTCTGGTGGTGCTCAGCACTCCAGCGGTGTTCAGACTGAAATAGTTGGTGGCCGGACCCGTGCTCAGCAAGTAATAGGTAAAGGGGCCTTGATTGGGAGGGAGGTCAGGGTCGGTGGACTGAAGGGTCATCACCAGAGTGCCTGGGCGTTTGTTTTCCATAACTTCTCCTTCGCTGATGGTCAGCATTGGCCCGTTGTCATTTATGTCTTCCAGGGTGACTAAGAGAGAGGCACTTCCTGTAGCGGAGGGTGTCCCCGAATCAACAGCCAACACGGTCAGATTATAGATGGGGAGGGTTTCTCGATCCAATTCTGCAGTTACAGTGATCTGTCCTGTCTGCGGGTTGATGGAAAAGGCACCATTTTCATTCCCTGACCCGATAAAGTAAGAGAACCTGCTCCAGCTGGGGACCGAGTCTGAGTCAAAAGCACTGACAAAGGTCACGTGAGTTCCTGTCGGGACCCCTTCGCTGATCTGAACACTATAGATGTTTAGACTGAAAATGGGTGGGTCATTGGCATCGAGCACAGTGATATTTACAGTGACCTCATCTATGTCTGCACCCCTAATGCTGCCAAAATTCTTGGCCAATACCTTCAAAGATACCCTTTCTTCTTTTTCTCTGTCAAGAGGTCCAGAAACATAAATCTGTCCAGTCTTCTTATTGATCTGGAAACCCTTCTTCCTACTGTTTCCAAAAATCAAATAATGTACCTCCCCATCCACGCCCAAATCCCGGTCACTGGCAAACACCTCTCCAACAATCGTACCTCTGGGAGCTGCTTCTGAGATTTCAAAGTAGTAGAGTTTGGAAACAAAACGAGGCACATATTCATTTGTCCCTTTCAATTGTACATTAACTGTGGCAAAACTGCACCTTTCTTCATCGGGGACATTGAAAGCTTTCACAGTAAGGTGGTAGCTCTGCTTGGTTTCAAAATCCAAGAAGCCTTGCGTGGTAAGGACGCCTGTGTTGGGGTCAATGACAAAGAGGTCGCTGTCAGATGACTGTACAGTGTATGCAATCACAGCGTTGGTGCCAGAGTCCGCATCGGTTGCATTTAGGTGGATAACGGTGGTCCCGCTTGGGGCATTTTCCAAAACAGTGGGGAAATATTCCTCAGGGAGGAACACTGGAGAATTGTCATTCACATCAAGCACATTGACAGTCACACTGCAGTAACCCGTCCTTGCAACCCACCCGCCATCAGTAGCACTAATAGTCATTTCATGTTTCTGGCATAGCTCGTAATCAAGAGCTTTGGCGAGTGTCAATACACCGGTGGAAGAATTGATGGCAAAAATGCCCTCTTCGTTTCCAGAAGAAATGCTGTACCTAATCAGGCCATTCATCGCTGCATCTCTGTCTCTTGCAGAAACCGTTCTGACAACAGCCCCAACACTGTGGCTTTCCGGGATGGTGGCGCTCATGTGGCTTTGAGAGAATTCCGGAGTGTGGTAGTTTTCCTCAGTGACAATGATTTGAACCGTGGCTTGGGATGAAAGTGGAGGGTTTCCTTTATCCTTTGCAGTGACAGTGATCAAAAAGTTTTGATTCAAGTCAGAGATGAGGGAAGATGCTACTGAAATCCACCCTGTATTGTTGTCCAACTTAAATTTCCCCAAGTGATTTTCACTGGAAACGAAATACTCCACTTCAGAATTCAATCCGAAATCTTTATCGTCTACTGCAGTAACTTTGATTAACTTTGTACCAACTTTCACGTTTTTGGTGACCGGAGTAAAATATTTACTTTTAAGAAATTGGGGTGCATTGTCATTACTGTCCACTATGTTGATGGTAACGGTTGTCTCACTGAGTAGGGAAGGATTGCCTCGATCTGAAGATGTCACTATAAAACTGTGTCTGTTGATGTTCACGTTACTGAAGCCACTGATGTTTTGGTATTTTAAGATCTGTTTATTGAAAATCTCTCCTGAGGTGGCATTAATCCTGAAGTACTCTGATTGAGATTTTATAAAATAAACCACTTGTCCATTTGACCCCTCGTCAGGATCAGTTGCAGACACCTGAGTCACTTTGGAGCCGATTTCAGCAAGTTCAGGGCAATCTAAATAATAGGAGGGCCTGCTGAATCTCGGAGCATTGTCATTGACATCTGTCACAAATATCGTGACGTCTGTACTTACAGTCCACCCGGAATCATGTGCAGAAACGCGGATTCTGTAACGGTCTGTATCTTCTCTATTTAAAGGTCTACTAATGACAATATCCCCTGTGCTGGGATTAATGGTAAATGGAAGGCTTGTGTCCATGATAGAATATCTACTGATTGCATTGACACCAGTGTCTTCATCAGAAGTCGTGACACGTGTAACCGTGTACCCTAAGGGGGAGTTTTCAGAAACATGGGCACTAAAGATCTGAGAAAACCTTGGGGCATTATCATTTTCATCTAAAATGTGAATGATGACTTTTACTGAGCTGCTCTGAGAAGGGGAGCCTTTGTCTGAGGACTTTATGGTGAGCACATACTGAGATACCTTTTCCCTGTCTAGAGGCCGAATGCTTCTAATTTCGCCAGTGGCATGATCGATGCTGAAACTGTGTTCTTTGTTGCCATTAACAATATCATAATCTAACTGTCCATTGGGTCCACTGTCCTTGTCCGTTGCTGAGACAGTAAGTATTTTTCGAGGAGAAAGATTTTCCAATATCTCAGATACAAATGGATCTTCCTTAAAAATCGGGGCATTGTCGTTGACATCTAATACAGCTATGTCGAGTTTCTCATAAGAGGAGAAAGGAGGGAACCCTCCATCTCTGGCCTCTATCCACACAACATATTTTTGCATCTTTTCAAAATCCAGCGGCCGACTAATGGACACCTGCCCTGTTAACTGATCAATCTGGAACGTGCTGCCAAGATTCCCACTTGCGATATAATAGGACAAAGGTTCCCCTCTCAGGGAGGACCCCGTAACAGTGGTGACCTGAGTGCCGACTGGCTGGTTCTCAGGAAACATGAAAGTTTGTTCTTTGGCTCTGACTTTGGGGAAATCGGCCTTGTTCACGAACCTAACAGTCACTGTTGTAGAATCTGTCTTTGGAAACGAGCCACCGTCTTTCACATGGACAGAGAATGTCACTTCTGAAGCTCCGTTCAATGGCCCAGCTGCCATGATAGCTCCCCGCAGCGGATCAATGTGAAATTTCTCAGAGTTTCTACCTGACAGAGAGTAATGCAGTTCAGAATTGGGTCCAATATCAGCGTCTGTGACTGTGACCGCAAAGACGAAGGCACCTATGAATGAGGGAGCATGCAGTTAGAATCCCAGGGAACCCAAACAGAACATTCGGTAGTAGGTTAATGCATATAAAATACTATATTTCTACCTGATGTAATTTTATTTCTCACAATTACTAGGGGAGGATGATACCTCCTCTATTGTCCCAGAAATTGCAAAATCAAATCTACTTAATAATAGTCTTCAGGGACTGACCTGCCATTTCCTAACTAAGGCCCACGTGGCCTAAAGGATTTAATATTCTGCAGTATGCCTTTGAGAGGAGCATAAGGAAGAGCAATGGCTAATCATTCCGAATTATAGTTCGTGGGAGATAAATCTGCACATCATACAACTTCCAGCCCACATGATTGTAACATGCACTGTGCTAACAGTTGTGCTGCTACCCCATGTAAAAGATAATTGCTCTTTTATGTCTTAAAACATTCCTCAATTACCATATATGTAATGATGTCCACAAAAATAATATGCTTAAAAAAATCACTGTTGATTCCTTATGCCTACTGTTTCATAGTAAAATTCTTTTACCTGTGAGCTATTATGCCATGGAGACAAAACATAAGCATAAATACACATATGAATCTATAAGTCAACTCAAACAATTATAAAGGAGTAAGAAATAAGAACTGAGAAAGAATGGACCCAATGTGGATTCCAAAAGTCAGTGCTTGGGATGAGTGCCAACAAAACAGATTGTAGGAGAAATATGCAGGGGAGCTGCCAGAAGGACATGTTTTTTATATTCTCATTCAGAAACCCTTCCCAAATCTGCACTCCCAGCCCTACCAAAGAGTTTGTGACAAAACTGAAAAGTCTTTTATAAAAAAAAAAAAAAGGCCAGTGATCCTGATTAATTATGTCTAATGAGGAAAAGATGCTGGCGTGTCCCTCACTTTGCGTAGGAGATGCAACGTTGCATCACCGAATACTGGATGTGATTAGAGTCATGTCTGCCAGCATCATTTCAGCTAAAGGCCTTCAGCAGGGACCTATGACTTTGATATCAATGTTTCCCTTTGATAGAAAGTTGGCAAAACTTTATGGATATTATACCTTCAATTGCTATTAATTAGATATTCTCGAGTGCATAGAAGATCAAAGATCCCTGAGAGGAGGAATCCTGGGTCCATTTATTTTTTTTTCTTCTAATTAAAAATATTTTAAAGCAAGGAAGATTAAGTGAATCGTGGTCTTTAGTTGTGTTTATTCCCGTTTGAAAACTCATCTCAGAAACTGCAGATGGCAGATGATGTGTGCGGTTCTGAAGAGTGTGCCGTTCTTTGCAAAAAAAGCAAAGGCAACCAAACTAAATTTGAAAGAGATGCAGAATAATAAATGCATGCTGTCAGCATGAAAGTGGCTCATTAATGGCTCCATAAACTTACTAACAAATAAACCTGCACCCCTCAAAACTGGAATAAAATGATATTAATGATAAGAATTAGAATTATTCATTCATTAGACATATTTTTAAAAATCTACCTATGAAGCATTAAAGTAAAATATTCATTTTCTAACCATGAATACAGCTGAATTCCTATCAATTCCAGATAATGTTTCAGGCACTGTGATATGGCATGAAAAAAAGAGAGATCTGTCCCTCCTCTCAAGGAACTTACAAATTACATCTCCAGGCAGAACCCTATCTGACTGCAAGTCCTATTTATTTTAATCACCTAACAATATTCAAGTCATATTAAGAAACAGTACTAGGAAAGATGTGGCAATTATAAAATCTCAAACACAATTGGTTGATGAAGAAAGAATTAATTTGTGAGATTCAACGTTCCTTTAGTTTTGTTAGGCAAAACAAGTCGAATTTCAGAGGATTTGCAAGCACAGGCCATATCAAAGCTATACATGTAAAAATGAAAGAAGTGTGTTTTATAGAACATGTCCAATGCATCATGTGATTACCTGGAGGAGTAGGCGATGGGATGTGTGTGACATATGGGTGATGTTGAAATCTTGGTGGATTGTCGTTGACATCAGTCACGGTGACCAGCACGCTGGCAGAACTGGAAAGAGGCCCTGGGGACCCAGCATCACTGGAAACCACCACTAACGTATAATTTTCTCTTGTCTCCCTGTCCAGCAGCGCACTGGTGATGATCTGTCCTGTGGAGGGGTTGATGGTGAACTGAGAGTTTCCACCGATGATCCTGTAGCTAAAGCAGAGAGCAGAGACGGCAGGTTTCTTCTAGGTACAATATTGTAGCACCTGTTTACTGTAATTTAAAAACTGAGGCAGAAATGTAACCCAAGACACTGCAAGTCAGATCACACAGCAATGAAAAAAAATACAGCTGGAAGACAAATCTTTCAAATGTTATGTGAATATCACACTGACATTCTTTATTGTGAGATGTCCAATGACCTCAAGCAGGTCCTTGCAAGCTTTGTGGGCTTCTTAAATCACGCAAGACCCCAAAATGTACCCAGAAGACCAGTGTGTTTTAAATAGACGAGCCAGAAAGCATAAATCAGGGCATTGCTCTAATAGTGTGGTTAATGGCCAGGACCACAGAAGAACATCTGTTAAATGAATCTAAACATTATTTTTCTGCTGTGTGCCATAATGTCCCAGGGAAGAGCAGTTGAAGGCTTCTCTTTCAAGACGAAAACACTGTATTTGATACACATTGACGACCCAGAACAACTAGAGAACTGATTATTTACACAGAGACATTCCTAGCTACTAATTCTCTCATTTTTCATTCCTCACATGGCCATGCTGCTCTGCTCGCTTGTTGTCTGGAGAGGTGGGCCATCTCCATGGATATTTTGATGCTAACCAGATTGGTTAACAGACAGGATTTTCCACTGAGAATAGCTTCTCTCTTCTTTCTGGAGAGGAAAGCTATCTGCATATATTCCTGAGAGATCCGCTAGGGAAGAAGTTCCTAAGCTTGAAGGTTCAGAAATTGGCTGGGGTCCATCCTTTCTAAGGTTGGAGGTAGCAAAGAAATAGATGTCTTTAAAAGCTTTCTCTTTTAGACCAACGAAGAAATGCCCTTGCTGGAATTAGGCACGTGTTTCTGTAGTTTGGTTTGCGTTCATAAAAACATAGCAACAGCATGTGTCTCACAGGAACAGCAGGAAAAACCCACACTGCAGCCAGCAGAGTGCACTCAGAGAAAGTCACTTATGATGCTTTTGGTAAATTTCAAGAGGTGCTCTTGGTAAATTTCAGTAGAATCTTCAGATAACGTCTTTTTTTGGTAAAGCAATGGAGAAAAATCAGATTGAAAGATTTTCAGGAAAATATGGCTGGAAAAAATGTGAGGTTGTGATCTACCCTCTCAAAAACATCAGGGAACAGACATTCAAACCTCAGGAAGGCAGGGGAGGGTGGAAAGTGGGGGTAAGAGATCAACCCAAGGACTTGTATGCATGCACATAAGCACAGACAGTAGGGGGGTGAGGGCATGTGCTGGGGGGTGGGACCGGATGGGGAGAGGTCAATGGGGGGAAAAGAAGACATGTAATACTTTAAACAATAAAGAATTTAAATTTTAAAAAACATGGGGAAAAATTGAATAGAAGCAGAAGTTCTAAAAAAATATTAGAATCATTCTTCAATGCATTCATTTCAGTGCCATTCACTATTACGTTGCAGACATTGTGCAAAGAAGACGATATTAAGAATAAAATAGCCCTGTCTGGTGTGGCTCGGTTGAGTGTCCTCCCATGTACTAGAAGGTCCCATGCACTGGAAGGTTGCCAGCTGGTTCCAGGTTCCATTCCTTGTCAAGGCACATACCCAGGTATGGGCTAGCCCAGGGGTGGGCATCCCTATGTTACTTAGCACCTAAATGGTCTCACTGGTTTCTCTCTAAATCTTCTTTCTGCAATCCTACCTCCTCCAATCCAATCCAAATACAAATCAGTGTATGTTGCTCCCTAATTAGAATCCATCAATAGTTTCCCACTTAAAAATACAATTTAAAATCCCAATTCTTTACCATGACCTAAAGGTCCTTTTGTAGTCTACATGATGTGGCCCCTGCCTCCCTCCCTGACCCTTTCCTCACTCTGGTCCAGACTTACAAACCTCCCTAAACACACCAGGCTGACTTCTAGCCAAAAGCCCCGGATGTCCAGGCCTTCCACAATACTCACACCTTAAAGTCCCTTGTCACTCTCCAGTGCATCATCCCGTTTTATTTTTAAGGCTGTCCTCCCTATATGAAGTAATTTTACCTATTTTACATTTACTTGTACATCTGTCTAAAACAATGCAGGCTCAAAGAAAATGGAAACTGTCTTGTTCATCACTGTTATTCATACTAGCGACTCAATGTTTATTTAATAAAAAATACATTGAGGCCTCCTAGCTAACTCAGTCATCTCTGTCAGGGAGAACAGACTAATTACTGCCAGTTTCCCAAAGTGAGTTTTTAAATAGGAAATTAATAACAAACAAAATAAATCATTAACCGAATCATCGCTAGGCATAGATGACTATTCAACAACAGATAACCATAATTGGGTACATGTTAATATGATGACATTTTTGGCAAAATTGAGCACCATATTCATTTAATGCAAAGACTAATGTTTAATGAGAAAAATAATCAAAATTTACAGAGGAAAAGGTGCTGACCTAATGACGGCGTTGGTTGAAGTGTCCGTGTCTGAGGCATTGACCAATAGGACGTCTGTTCCTGTCGGTGCATCTTCGGGAATCGTAGTGAAATACAATTTACTGGCAAAAGTGGGGACATTGTCATTGACATCATCTACTATGACATTGATTGTTCCAGTTCCAGTCAGGGCAGGGGACCCTAGAGGGGGGAAAAAATCAAGTCTCAGATGTTTATAAATAACAGTAATAATAGTGACTTTAATACCTAGCTGTAGACAACACTACTAGAGAGAATTTAGAAACAGCTCCAGGTTAAATTTCTGAACAGAGATAAGTATTCATTTTAAATTTTGTGACAAAAAATATGTTAATTTATGATCTGGTATTTCAGTTCTTGCCTAGTGATACTGTAGAAACAGAGTTTCAATTTCTTCTATTTTGAAGGTGCTGATTCAACAGTATAGAACACAACAATATCATTAAAACACCACAGAAGAGGCATGGCGGGCTTCTCTGAAATCACATTAAAATAAGCCAAACCAGATTTGGAGAACACCCTTGGGCACGGAATCGCTGGCCCTCTTAGTGTAAATAAAGGCAGCGTTAAGAACTGTAGTCCTAGCTGTAACTATCAATGTTAATGTTAAAATTTTCAACTGGGTAACCGAGGTCTTCCAATCCCCGTTACTGTACTAACTGATATTTGTTTATGGGGAGGGGGAAAGGCTTCCGGTTATATTTCACAACTGTAATCTCCCACTTTCTGGAAATAATATTATGTCAGTGAGCTGACTTGGAATCATTTTTATGCATTTACTTAATATTTAACATACATGTGAAGCAATTCACGTTTATTTCCTGTTTCAGCTCTGATATCAACACATAGTGAAAACCCGACATTGACCAGAACCTTGGATACGCTGTCCGTATTACACACAGTTGGCGGACTCTTATGGTGAAGGTCACATGTCCTGTTTGGTGAGATTCTGTTATTTGTCCCCCAACTCAAAGGCAAACGTTAGTTGTGTTTTTAAGATAATTTTCAAACTTTCATTTGTGCTGGGCTCTGGACAAGGGGAGCCCAGAGCACAGCACCCGGCACGTGCTGCAGGAACGGCAGGCTCCCAGCTACTTGCAGTTGGAAGTTTGTGGGTCAACTGAAGACAATACTCTTGTCACAGATTTTGAATTTCTAACAAGGGACATGTTAGAGCTAAAATAAATATCTTCAGGGGTATTATTGATGGCCAGTGTTTGGCCTAAATCTCTTAAATGTGTGTTTAATTATATACAACATGGCAAAATGGAAATTAATGATCTGAATAATGTCAGTGTTTCTCCCGCTGATTGAATTAGAAAAAAAAGTTAACCAAAGGATACCTGTGCATTTGTGTGGGCAAAAGGGAATGTCATGGGAAGGATAATTACACGCGGTGAACTGAGAGAGGGGATAACTAAATCAAGGCCCCAAGGCGAGGGATGGGAGGAGATGTAGAGCTCTTTTAGCTCTTTTACTGACACTGTGTTCTACTCACTGAATCTCTGTCTCCTCATCTGCAAAATGGGAATAATGAGAATAGAACCTACCCCAGAGAAGTACTGAGGGAATGTAACATGCTTAGGATAATGCCGGCACAGAGTTAAAATATATCATATGTTACTCATTGTTCTTGTAGTTATTGTAAAAACAAGGAAAATGAAAATTTGCCATATTAAAGGTCCATTTTTAATCTAACAAATGTCTGTGTCATAGTTCTCAGGATGTTTGCTGCCCACGAAACTTTTGACTTGATGCTCTAATACTATTATTCAAGAAAACATTTTGAATAATCCCTTGCTCCTAATGATTGCGTAGTAGTGTAAACACAGGAATACTTGGCTCTCGAAAATTTCATAGCTTTGTGGATTTTATAAAGTTCATAATTTTTAAATTTACACAGGGAGTTTAAAGAAGACTTGAATATTTCTGATATGCACATTGCTCTTTAATTGACGATGCTTCAACTTGTTAGGAAATAACCCAGTAACTGCCAAGCAGAGGTTTTCTCTTGGTACACTAAAGTGTCTGATGACACATATATGGAAAACCACATAAAATGGTGACTAACTCCTTTGGTTAGGAACATGTGATTTCTTTCTTTGTCTATAAACTATATAAATATTGTTGGTGATGTGTTTTCTGAATTAGTAAGCAGAAAGAAAATTGTTTACCCAGGAAAATATTCAGCAAGTTCAATCTCACTGTCTTCATACCAGAGGATATCACATTTTTCCAAAAGGTTTTAAAAGCACACCAGTGACAGCAGATGATTCTGGCTGGAGAAGCTGCCCGACAGGTGATCCCCTATCCACATGGGGCCTCCTCTCAAGCACAGAACAACCCCCAGAGTCCACTTCTTCCCCTTATTAGCTGCCACAACCCACTCCATAAGCCAGCCGTGGGCAAACTACGGCCCGCGGGCCGGATCCGGCCCGTTTGAAATGAATAAAACTAAAAAAAAAAAAAAAGACCGTACCCTTTTATGTAATGATGTTTACTTTGAATTTATATTAGTTCACACAAACAGTCCATCCATGCTTTTGTTCCGGCCCTCCGGTCCAGTTTAAGAACCCATTGTGGCCCTTGAGTCAAAAAGTTTGCCCACCCCTGCCATAAGCTCATGGGTTCTTCACTTCTTGTTCTCCTCCCACTTCAAGAATGGATAACGCTAGAGGTGCAGTCTTGCCCATGGCCTCACTTCCTTGTCACCAGAGGAGATGTGCATGATGCTCTTATTTTCTCTTTTTTCATTTTTGTAAGAAAAACCTTATAAAGACATTGTTCTAAATTTCTGTCTTTTATTAAGATTTACCTAATCTCTCATTTGAATTCTGCCTGCAAGATTTTTCACTTTTATTACTGGGGACAGAGCCAACCCGCCCTTACCCCACCCCAACCCCAGCTTCCTACTTGTCTACTGACAGCATGAGCTCCGAAGGCACTGCCTCTCAGCTTGAGTCAGGAAGACGAGGTTAAGGGAGAAAACGGGAAGGCCCCCGCTTCCTAGAGAGTAAGTCTCATTTCTGCAGCACTGTTCCCAGATGAAGGGCTTTCTCTTCTCTGAGAGTTGAGTGATGAAAACATCCATTGTTGTTTTTGTTTGTTTGCCTCTTTTTGAACCTTTCCTCTTCACTGTGTGAAGAAATGGTCTAAGGCGCTTATGTTCCTGGTTCCCAACATATTTTTGGTTATATTCCATGTGAAATGCTGCATCATATTTACTATTACTCTATCTTCACTCCAGTACTTTCCGCTGGCTCAAAACTTATATATCCAAGTGACTATTTGTTGTCTCCTCTCGCAAGTTACCAAAGGGCCCAGCATTTGTATGCCAAAAACTGAAATCACAATATTCATAATTAAACTTAGCCCATATATCTATAATAATAAAAGCATGATATGCTAATTAGACCAGACATCCTTCCAGACAACCTTCTGGACAAAGCCTCGGCTGCGAGGGAAGGATCCAGGCAGCCACTGCAGCTGCGAAGACCTACTCTTGCATGGATTTCATGCATTGGGCCTCTACTTTATATATAAATTGAAATACATCTGTACATATACATGTATACATACGTACTTATATATACTTTTAGCTGTCTACATACATACATATACATATATATACATATATATATCCCATCTAATAAAAGAGTAATATGCAAATTAACCATCACCCCATCACAAAGATGGCTGTGGACATGGAGCTAGAGCGAGCAGGAGGCTTGCGCTGCCCCGGCGATGGAGGAAGCCAAGCTTCCCACCTGCCCTGCCGGCCCTGAGCTCCGCTCAAGGCTACAAAGTTTCAATTATAGAAGATAAATAAATCCCAGATACCTGCTTCCAGCCCATGGGTGTGGCCAGCCTGAAAACGGCCCTCAGCCCTTCACTCAGGCTGGCCAGGCACCCCAGCAGGACCCCCCCACCCTGAAGGGGCTGTGGCCAGCCTGAAAACAGCCATCAGCCCCTCACCCATGCTGGCCAGGCACCCCAGTGGGGCCCTCCACCCTGAAGGGGGTACAACCTGCCTGCAAACAGCCATCAGCCCTTCACCCAGGCTGGCCACACCCCCATGGGGTGAGGGTCCCCACTGAGGGGCTTGACCAGCCTGCAAACAGCCATCAGCCCCTCACCCAGGCTGGCCCAGGCACCCCAGCAGGACCCCCACCCTGATCCGGGACACCCTTCAGGGCAAACCAGCCGACCCCCACCTGTTCACCAGGCCTCTATCCTATATAATAAAAGGGTAATATGCAAATTGACCCTAACAGCAGAATGACTGGGAATGACTGGTCACTATGACACATACTGACCACCAGGGGGCAGATGCTAAATGCAGGAGCTGCCCCCTGGTGGTCAGTGCACTCCCACAGGAGGAGCTCTGTTCAGCCACAAGCCAGGCTGATGGCTGCCAGCACAGCAGTAGTGGTGGGAGCCTCTCCCGCCGCCACAAGCCAGGCTGATGGCTGCCAGCACAGCAGTGGTGGTGGGAGCCTCTCCCGCCTCCTCAGCAGCACTAAGGATGGCTGCCAGAGGGATGTCTGACTGCCAGAGGGATGTCTGACATCCCCCGAGGGCTCCTGGGCTGCCAGAGGGATGTCTGACTGCCCTGGGGAGCGGGCCTAAGCCAGCAGATGGATATCCCCTGACTGGTCCCAGACTGAGAGAGGGCACAGGCCGGTTGAGGGACACCCCCCCCCCCACCACTGAGTGCACAAATTTTTGTGCACCATGCATCTAATTATATATATTTGAACACTTATATGATACCATGTGTATTTTTATATAGGTGTTACTCATTTAATATGCATAGCCTATGAAGTAGGTATTATTATTTAATTTTTAAAATGAAGAACTTGAGACAAAGAATTTAATAAATTTATTTGCATTCAGACAGAGTGGACAGTGAGAGAGCCAATTCTGAACTGAAAAAAAAAATACCTTCTCTGTTCATTAGACCCCAATAACACTATGCCACTCATTGCAGGTGTTTTACTTATTATTATTATTATTATTATTATTATTATTATTCTAATGTAATTCTGCTATAGCCTCTATTAGGTTATAAGTTTATTGAGAGCAGGGATAATTCTGTTTAATTCATCTCTCTCTAAACCCACAATGCATTCCATTAGGCCCTGTCCTTTATCTATATTAAC